TTTTTCTTAGAAATCATGTTTTAGAAGTCAGTTACATTCCAAGATTTTAGAAGCTTCTGTATAATCTGTGTAATCTACTACTACTATTATACTATTATACTTGTAGTTTCAAAGCATTCTGGAATCTCTCCGGTGAGTCCAGGGCTAATCCTGGTAATAAGAGCCTGAGATCCCTTCACCTTGATCCACTTTTGGGAAATTCATTAACCCACCAAAGCTCTTTTAATCAACAAGAAACAAGTATGAAGGAAGGGGATAGGGCTGTGTAGAGGTAGGAATTGTGAAAATTTGTGGAATAACTTAGGCTAAAATGTAAGATTCTAAGATTAGCATATTGACTTAGCTTAAAATGTAAGATTCAAAGTCAGTATGTAAAGCTCTTTACAAGTAAGTTTTTTCCCCTGAGTCTCAACACCTGTGTGAATGTATTATGTATGGGAAGCCACATTCTTAACCACAGTGAATGTAATTGTAGTCCAGGGTTATAGAGGAAATTTACAATTGCTAACATTAAATCTTAAAATTATAGCCAAGGTTAAAAATTCTTACACAATACCCCTCACTTTTTAAAAAGCTGGAATAGTTATAATAACAGAGAAATTAAAATAATAATTAGCCTTATTAAGTAAGAATTAGAGAATGACTCTTGTTTTTGAGCACAAACGTATCAAAATAGAAATAAAACCAAAAGGGATTATTGCACATCATAGTGGTCAGGAGTTGTGTGTGTTGGTGTCAGATAACTTATTTTTAAACTTATAATAATAAGTTATTGGACATAATCGTCTAAAGTCCCAGTTTTTCTATTTATAATACAGATGTATTATAGGGATTAAATATGAGCAAATACGCAAAAATTAATATAATAACTGGCACAAGGTAAACATTATCAATAAATATCAGCAATTATTAATAATAAAGTGTTATATATAAGCAGAATATTTGTGTGCTATGGGAGAGGAGAAACAATCAATGTATATTTTATGTTTTCTCTGTTCCCAGAACCATGCAGCATACTTCCGCATAGCTATAATGTGGGATAAAGAAAGAACAATTAAGTGCAAATCTGTGATAGTGACTCATTTTTTTTTAATTTTTAAAATTTCATCTTTTTAGTTATACATGACAGTAGGATGTATTTTGACATATCATACATAATGGAGTAAACATCCCATTCTTGTGGTTGTACATAATGTGGAGTTATGCTGGTTGTGTATTTATACATGAGCATAAGAAAGTTATGTCTGATTCATTGTACTGTCTTTTCTATTACCATTCCCCCCTTTCTCCATTCCCCTTTGTTTAATCCAGTGAACCTTCACTCCTCCCTTCCCTGTTGCCTAGAGTCAACATCTGCATGACAGAGAGAACATTCTGCCTTAGTTTTTTGGGGATTGACTTATTTCACTTACCATGATAATATCTAGTTCTATCCATTTGCTGGCAAATGACATAATTTAATTCTTCTTTATGGCTGAGTAGAATTCCATTGTGTGTATGTGCCAGCAGTTGAGGGTTATGCAGGGTGAGATATAGGGGTCTAATTTTGTTTTATTACATATGTATTTCCATATTTCCCAGCATTATTTGTTGAAGAAGTTCTCTTTTCTCTAATGTATATTCATGGTGTCTTTGTCTAATATGAAATGTCTGTATTTTTATGGGATTGTCTCTGTGTCTTCTATTCTGTACCATTGGTCTTCATGTCGGCTTTTGTGCCAATACCATGGTGTTTTGTTACTGTAGCTCTGTAGTATAATTTAAGGTCTGGTATTGTGATGCGTCTGGCTATACTTTTCTTGCTAAGAACTGCCTTGGTTGTTCTGGGATTCTTATTTTTCCAAATGAACTTCAGGACTGCTTTTTCTATTTCTATAAAGAATGTTATCAGAATTTTAATAAGAATTGCATTAAATCTGTTTAATGCTTTTGGTAGTATGGCTATTTTGAACAATATTAATTTTGCCTATCCAAGAACATGGAAGGTTTTTCCTTCTTCTAAGTTCTTCTTCAATTTCTTTCTTTAGTGCTCTGTAGTTTTCATTGAAGCTATTGTGAATGGGGTAGTTTTCCTAATTTCTCTTTTAGTTGATTCATCACTGATATATAGGAACACAATTGATTTCTAGGTGTTAATTTTATATCCTGACATTTTGCTGAATTTATTTATGAGTTCTAAAAATTTTCTGGTGGATATCTTTGGGTCTTTCATACGTAGAGTGATGTCATCAGCAAAGAGGGATAGTTTAAGTTCTTCTTTTTCTATTTGTATCCTTTTTTTTTCTTTCTTCTAATTACTGTGGCTGGAGTTTCTTGAACTATATTGAATAGGAGTGGTGAAAGAGGCCATCCCTGTCTTGTTCCAGTTTTTAGAAGGAATGCTTTCAATTTTTCTTCATTTAGAATGATGTTGGCCTTGGATTTGGCATATATAGCTTTTACAATGTTGAGGTATGTTCCCACTCTCCCTAGTTTTCCTAGTGTTTTGAACACAAATGTGTGCTCTATTTTGTCAAATGCTTTTTCTGCATCTATTGATATAATCATGTGATTCTTGACTTTATGTCTGTTGATGTGATGAATTACATTTATTGATTTCTGTATGTTGAATCAACCTTGCATCCCTGGGCTGAATCCCACTTGATGATGGTGAATCATCTTTTAAATACATTTTTGTATGCAATTCGTGAGTATTTTATTAAGAATTTTTGTGTCTATGTTCATCAGGGATATTGGTCTGAAATTTTCTTTACTTGATGTGTCTTTGTCTGGTTTGGTATGAGCGTGATACTAGCTTCATAGATTGAGTTTGGAAGCATTCCCTTTTTTGAAAAATAAATATTTTTAAATTTTCATTCCTGATTTCTTCTCTTATCCATTCATCATTCAATAGTGTATTATTCAGTTTCCAGGTGTTAGAGTAGCTTCTATTTATTATTTTATCTTTGGTTTCTAATTTCATTCCATTATGATCTGATAGGATGCAAGGTATTATCTCTATTTTTTGTTTTTGCTAAGAGTTGCTTTGTGGGCATAAGCTATGGTCTATTTCAGAGAAGGATCCATGTGCTGCTGAAAAGAAAGCATACTCAGTCATTGATGGATGAAATATTCTATATATGCCTGTAAAGTCTAAATTATTAATCATATTTTTTTAGTTCTGTACCTTCTTTGTTTGGTTTTTGTTTGGAGGATCTATCGAGTAGTGAAAGAGATGTGTTAAAGTCACCCAGTATTATTTTGTTGTGGTCTATTTGCTTCTTGAATTTGAGAAGGGTTTGTTTGATGTACATAGGTGCTCCATTGTTTGTGGCATAAATATTTACACTTATTATGTCTTGTTGATGTATAATTCCTTTAAGCAGTATGAAATATCCTTCTTTGTATCTTGTGATTAACTTTGGCTTGCAGTCCACTTTATGGACTGCAAGCAACCCCTGCTTGTTTATGAGATCTATATGAATGATACTTTTCCCCTTCAGTCTGTAGATGTCTTTACCTATGAAGTAAGTCTTTTTGGAGATGGCATATTGTAGGGCCTTTTATAAAAAAATCCAATCTTCCAGTCTATGTTTTTTGGTTGATGAGTTTAGTTCATTTACATTCCGCATTATTATTGAGATATGATAGTTATTCCCTGTAGTTTTGAATTACTTCTGGTTTTTAATTAGAATTTGATTCTCCATGATTCAGTGTTCTTTTAGTGTAGTTCCTCCCTTTGCTGGTTTTTATTTTTGTTTTTCATTTCTTCTTCATAGAATATCACATTGAGTATGTTTTGTAGTGTAGGCTTTCAAGTTGTAAATTCTTTCAATTTTTGCTTATCAGGGAAAGTTTTTGTTTCATCATCAATTCTGAAGCTTAATTTTGCTGGGTATAGTATTCTTGACTGGCTTCCACTTTCTTTCAGAGCTTGGTATATATTTTTCCAAGACCTCCCAGCTTTGAGGATCTGAGTTGAGAAATCATCTGAGATCTGGATTGGTTTCCCTATAATGTTACCTGTCATCTTATCTGGCAACATTTAAAATTCTTTTCTTATTTTTATCCTTATCCCTATGTATGTTAGGCATTTTCATAATAATGTACCTTAATGAGGGTAATTTTGTATATTTGTGGTCCTGTAATCCTCCTGTATTTGATTTTATATTTCATTCATTAGTTTTGGAAATTTTCTGATATTATTTCACTAAAAAGATTGTGCATTCCTTTTGTTTGTATCTCCCAGCCTTTATTTATCCCAATAAATCTTTATTTATTCAGGTTATCCCCTATTTCTTGAAAGTTCTGTTCATGGTCTCTTGATATTTTTTTCTCTAGAGTCAACTTTGTTTTAAAGATTATATTTTGTCTTCATTGTATGAAATTCTATCTTCCAAGTGATTTAGTCTGTTGGTGATGCTTTTATTTGTATTTTTAATTTGAAATTGATATCTTCATTTTGAATATTTCTGCTGTTTTGTTGGTGTTTCAGAATCTTTATTCCTTTATTGAAGTGATCTGTCACTTCCTATATTTTCTCTCTGACTTCACTCCTTTACTTCACAGATCAGTTTAACTATGTACCTTTTGAACTCCTTTTCTGACATTTCCTCCACTGTGGTGTCAATGGATTCTATTATTGGAGTATCTCAGTTTGTTTGGGACAATTTGCTCCTTGCTTTTTCATGTTGTTTGTGTGTCCACCCTTCTAACAGTATGGATCTGAGGCAGTAGAGTTTCTGCCCCCTGGACTTATGGTATCCCTGAAGGTTTCCAGAACCTCACTCTTTAGGGGAAGACAAATAATAACAACAACCAATGCAAACAATATACAACATGAAACCAAATAGTTTCTATTATGATGTCTATAGTGTTAATTATCACAATAAGCAGAAATGATGTGATCAGCTGTTGTCTACAATGAAAACAGCAAGTTTGCAAAAGGGTTTTCCATTTCAAATGGTGGACAGGGGGAGAACAGAAGCGATATAGAATGTGATGGTTATGAGGGAGGAAGAAAGAAGATAGATGTAAAAAACTGAGTGAAAGAGAGAACAATAGAGATAGGCTGTTAGTGGAAGAAAAGAGAGAATCAAGCAGACAGGTAAGAGAAAATACATATGTATATGTAAAGTAAAAATTTTTTAAAAATGAAAGAATACAAAACAAAACTCCTAGTCCTCAAAAAACTGACCCATGAAAAATGACTGCCTTCAGAAATGCTCACTGAGAAGCTGCTGTCAGGAAAGCAATCTCCTTTATTCTGTCATCTTATAAACTTGCTTTAGTAGACAAATCAGTGTAGGGCCTGCTAGGATCTTTGCTGCTCTATTCTAAGTATAATCATCAACGTCCATGAGAGGAGCAGCTGTTAGCACCTGCACCCGAGTGCAGGGCAAGGTGCCCAGTGGTGGAGAGCCAAAGGTCAGGTAGCAGATATGGTGAGGATCATAAATAGGAAGTAAGAAAATGAGGCCAGCCATTTAGTACACCTCCTCATTGTGTCTGATAGGTACTAGTAGAGGATCTTACATGAGTTCTTCAAATTCTTTATGCCTGATTCCTAATCTGCTGAATAATATATATCTATCCCTGTCTTTATCTGTCTCGGCAGATGAATGGATAAGAAAATATGGTACAGGGGAGATTATTCGACTCTCAAAGAGAATGAAATCCTGCTATTTGTGGCAAAATGGATGGAACTGGAGAACTTTATCAAAAGTGAAATAAACCAGGCACAGAAAGATAAATACTGCATATTCTCACTTATGTGAAGAAGCTAAATATGTTGATCTCAAAAAAGAGAGTAGATGGCTAGAGTGATTATTACAGGCTAGGAAAGGTAGTAGGAAGTGAAGAGAGAGGGAAGTTGGATTATAGGTATTCAAATACAGTTAGATGGTAGGAGTAAATTCTGGTATTCTGTAGTGCAGTGGGGTGACTGGAGTCTGCAGCTGGTCTTTGAGCTCAAGGAATTTAGAAGGAAATGCCTTTTCTACTCAGTTTCATAACCAGAGTGTTGTTTTTCTGTAGTGGCATGATGATGAACTAAATAGAAGCACATAATTCTGTAAGCTCATTATGACTTGTAATATCATGTAAATTGATGATTAATTATACTTGAACCATTTCACTGCTTTTTCAGAAGTTTCCAATACTTATTAAAAATACTTGTGTAGGGTAATCTTTCCTTTGCCAAACTTTTATATGAAGAAAAATCTCCCTAGATTGTAAGATGCAAGAGAGCAGGGATTTTTTATTTACTTTATTTTTGTATTTCCAATGTCTAGTTTAATGGTGGTGCATATACAGATTTAAATCCTTTGAAATATAAATAGTAGAGAGAGACATCTGGCTGATGCAGTTTTATTGAGGCTTCTTGATGACTTTTAACCCATTTTTAGAAATTTGATATATTAGCTTTTCTTCTCTTTTAGTTCCAAATTCTCCACGCCTGGGACCTAAGGTAGAAACTGTAGCCCATCTAATTATCCTTGCCAACGACAATGCATTTGGAACCCTTCAGCTTTCAGCGCCAGTGGTTCGAGTGACAGAAAATCATGTTGGACCCATTATCAATGTGACTAGAACAGGAGGAGCATTTGCAGATGTTTCTGTGAAGTTTAAAGCTGTGCCAATAACTGCAGTAGCTGGTAAGAAAAGATATCTAAGGAGCAGCGGAAGTGTTTTAAACGGTCATGTGTCTGGATTAACCAAGCCACATAAGGACATAATTCGAAAAATCAACTAGAAAGCATCAGTACTCTTGTGTCTGTTTCGATACCAATCTAGAGATTTTACATATCTGTGACTCAAAATTCGTAGAATTCATGAAAAAACACTGGTAAAATTGTACCAAAATTCAAAAGTTATGACAGCTGAAGTATGCACAAGCCAATGAAAAGTAAACTAAGGATGTCATTGGCTTTCTCTGATTTTTTTTCCATTTTTTGAAAGGGTTTCATGTGTAAATGACTACTAAGGAATGCAGGAAAAAATGAGTAGCCATTAATTTTGGTTCTTTGGAGTAGGCTTATCTGCCATTATCTTACTTGTTTATTTATGAAGAATATGGAAGAGACAATGGTTAGCATTGACTATTTTATGTATAAGCAGAATGATTTGACTGCCAAATGCACACATTTGGAGACTGCCTTCTTTGATACAGGAGATCCAGAATTTAGAGGCAGATTTGCCCAATAACAGTTCAGTTAGAATTCTAGTGTTCACTCAAAGGAACAGGAGTGTGAATGAGGGGGATATGATGCCTGATTTAAAACATAAATCATCTGAACATGATTCTTGCTAAAAAAAAAGAAAAGACAACAAGCCTGAGCTGGGTGGGGCTGTACTTCAGTGGCAAAGAACTTGCCTAGCATGTGTGAGACACTGGGTTTGATCCAAAAAAGTAGGCCCAAATCTCCATCATGTCAGATTAGTCCCTGACTTTCTTAATAAGACTCCTATAGTACAAGAATTAAAACCAAGAATCAATAAATGGGATGGAGTCAAACTAAAAAGCTTCTTCTCAGCGAAAGAAACAATCAGTGAGGTGAATAGAGAGCCTACAGAATTGGGGTAAATTTTACCACAAGCACATGAGATAGAAAACTAATCTCTAGGATATATAAAGTACTCAAAAACCTTACCATCAAAAAACCCATAAGTAACCCAGTTAATAAATGGGCCAAGGAACTGAAGAGACACTTCTTAGAAGAGGATATACAATCAATCAATAAACATATGAAAAAATGTTCAATATCTCTAGCAATTAGAGAAATGCAAATCAAAACTACTCTAAGATTTCATCTCACTCCAGTCAGAATGGCAGCTGTCAAGAATACAAACAACAATTAGTGTTGGTGAGGATGTAGGGAAGAAGGCACACTCATACATTGCTGGTGGGATTATAAATTGATGCAGCCAATCTGGAAAGCAGTATGGAGATTCCTTGGAAAACTTGGAATGGAACCACCATTTGACCCAGCTATCCCATTCCTTGGTTTATACCCAAAGGACTTAAAAACAGCATACTACAGGGACACAGCCATATCAATGTTTATAACAGCACAATTCACAATAGTTAAAATGTGGAACCAACACAGATGTCCTTCAGTAGATGAATGGATAGGGAAACCTTGGTATATATACAGAGTGGAACATTACTCAGCATTAAAAGAGAATAAACTCATGGCATTTGCAGGTAAATGCATGGAATTGGAGAATATAATACCAAGTAAAGCAAGCCAATCAAAAAAAAACAAAAGCTGAATGTTTTCTTTGATATGAGGATGCTGACTCATAATGGTGACTGGGGGCAGAAGATGGGAGGAATGTTGGAACTTTAGATAGAGCAAAGGGGAGGGAGGGGAAGGAAGGGAGCAAGAGGGTAGGAATGATAGTGGAATGAGTTAGACATCATTACCCTAAGTACATGTATGCAGACACGAATGGTGTGAAAATATTTTATGTACAATTAGTGATTTAAAAAATTATGCTCTCTATGTGTAATATGAAATGAATTGCATTCTGCCATCATGTATAACAGAGTAGAATAAATAAATAATTTAAAATAAATAAATAAGTAAATAAAATGAAGGCATTCTTTCCATCTTCAAAAAAAAAAAAAAGAAGAAAGAGAAAAAGGAAACATAAGCCAGGCTTACCTCATCTGTGCACATTAGAGGATGCACAGACCTAAGAATGCCTCTAGACAACCTCATCTATTGACAGGTGGGGGGAATTAGTGTTCTGAGGAGTTAGCCTGTAAGATCCAAAGGGAATCTCCCTCCTTTCCTTATCCAGCGCTTGTTTTCTTGCCACCCTGAGCAATACTCAGCAGCAGCTTTTCATCCAGCTTTATAGGAAAGTTTGTCATTTCCAGCTGTATCATTGAGGATGCTAACATGCCGTTTCTGCAATAGTATAGTTTATTTCCCCAGTGAAACTGGAATTCTAGTTCTTTTCTTTGTTCTAAAGTATTGTATTCTTTTTTTTTTTTTTTTTTTGTAGAGAAGGAACCATGTTATGGTAATGATTGTCTATCTCACTCTAAAGAGAGAGAAGGAAGGAGGGAGGGAGAGAATCAATCTATAGTAAAGTATATAAGCATCTTCATGAAAATGAAGACATGAAGTTGAACAACCTTAATAAGTTTTTTCCATTATCTTATGATATTATCAAATCCAACTTTTATTAGTTTTAGAAAACTTTGTTTAGAATAGATATAGTTAATATCCTCGAAAATGTCTCCCCAAGTATACCATAAAGTTTGGGGTAAATTTTGTTTCCCTAATGTTTGGAATGTTTATCATATTCTGAATAAGTATTAACATTTTGCTTTTTGTCCTTGCAGGTGAAGATTACAGTATAGCTTCATCAGATGTGGTCTTGCTGGAAGGGGAAACCAGTAAAGCTGTGCCAATATACATAATTAACGACATCTACCCTGAACTGGAAGAATCTTTCCTTGTGCAGCTGCTGAATCAAACAACAGGAGGAGCGAAACTAGGGACTTTGACAGAGGCTGTCATTATTATTGAGGCTTCTGATGACCCCTACGGATTATTTGGTAATTGGGCTTGTTTGCATCTCTCTTTCACTTGTTTGTATAAGTCAAGTATAATGGCCATTTCTTTTCTGTAGAGACTCAGAATTGTTTTGATTAAGTGTCCTTTTTTTTTCTTTTTTTTTTATTGTTGGTCATTCAAAACATTATAAAGTTCTTAATATATCATATTTCACAGTTTGATTCAAGTGGGTTATGAACTCCCAATTTTACCCCATATACAGATTGCTGCATCACTGATTAAGTGTCCTTTTTAAACCTGATTATTAGTGATACATAGGACCCCTATGTAGACTGACAGGCATGGATAGTAATTTTTTATAAAAGTAAGTAACATAGAGATGGAAATCACAAATTTTTAGCTTTTTGTTAAGATTTGGTTCCCAGATGCATTTTGTGAGTCTTAGGTAATTCTTTTAAAAATTAATTTGTAGAAATTGCCACTCAGATCTGACTTTCTGGGCTTTCCTGATAAGTAGGAAAATCTGGCAACATCAAGCCCCCCTTTCCTGCATAGTATCAGTCATGGGAGCAAATAGCAGCTACCCCTGGGGACCAGGCAGGCTGTTTGTATAGTTAGCCACAGTTCCCACTGGATTATTTCACTCATGGCTGGTATATACATGACCCCTGTTGACATCTCACTTTATGATTTCTGTTGTTAGCACAATGAAAAATAACAGTTGGAAACTTTGGCAGGCCTGACAAAGTTGTGTCACAGCATGGTACCCTGCTTTTATGGGATGTAGCTACTTAGGTAGCTTAGGGGGAGAAAGAATCCACTGTAGAAGGGTCCTTGTTAGTTCTGTGTTGACTCAGTTATACTTTTTATCTGTCTTCCCTCCAGGTTTTCAGATTACTAAACTTATTGTAGAGGAACCTGAGTTTAACTCAGTGAAGGTAAACCTGCCAATAATTCGAAATTCTGGGACACTCGGCAATGTTACTATTGAGTGGGTTGCCACCATTAATGGACAGCTTGCTACTGGCGACCTGCGAGTTGTCTCAGGTAATGTGACCTTTGCCCCTGGGGAAACCATTCAAACCTTGTTGTTAGAGGTCCTGGCTGACGACGTTCCGGAGATTGAAGAGGTGAGAGGAATGGCTAGTATAGAATGACACTATAAATTGTGCCTTGTCTTATAGTGACTAGAACAGATGACTCTGGCTATGACATTTTAGAGAGAATGTCAGATAAATTATTTCTGCAAGAATGTTCAAAGTATGGTAGGATAAAAGTGATCTTTAAAAATAACAAGAGGAGGAATATTCTAGAAATAGATTTTGTCTACATAAGATTTTATTAGTATACGATTTTTTGTGCAATTACATTGTATTTTTCAATAATGCTGTTAAATAATTTAAAAATACATAAAACTATGTTCATTTTTTTCTACATTTGTTTTTATTAATTTGTATTCATGGTCTCTTTTGGCTTGGATGCAAGCCAATCATTTTTAAGTGTAGATTTTGACTTTCCACTCTTCATTTATTATTCTTCACCTATTATTGAGAGTTTACTATCTAACTGCATCATTCTTACTCTAATTTCAGAGCTTATTTAACAAATAAGCTCGGTAATTTTTCTGTTTTATATTTTTCATGATGAAGAAGCAATGTGGCAACTAAAATTAGAGTCTCAGTGGGAAAGCTGATTCATCACTAACATATTGTCTGAAGATAATTTTATTTTATGAAATTCAAGTATTACTAAAGCTTATACCTCATAAAAGTATTATATTAGCATTTATTCTTTAGTAGTATTAAATTTTATAAGAGTCCATAGAATTTCTCTTGAATGCAAATCATAATTCAATTCTAAAATATTATTCATTTATATGTAGAAAACATTTCTCTTTCCTTCTTTCTAAAGGTTGCAATACAATATGTTTTTTTCCTATAAGATTTGTCAGAATTTCCATTCAGGATAACATGGGAAATAAAGCATAATAGATTTAACTTTGAGCTAAAATGCATATGCAATATTTCCCCTCAATAAAAAGGTATAGAACATAAAAGTCATATCATTGAAATGATAAACATAAATAGGAATTTTAAAATTGATTTTTATGATTATAAAACTGAATATTAAGGAATTTAAACAGCCTGTATTTCTTATGTATAATCATGCTCTGTTATTAAGTGGATAATGAATTATTCTATTCCAAGCTGGGTTTGCAAATATTTTGGGGGAGTTTTCTTTGAGTCCATTTATACTTAGTCCATTTTATTTTTATGCTTGTATGGATATGTTTTCTGATTTTTTACCTGCATCATTCTTACTCTAATTTCAGAGCTGGGATGCTGTTAAGGAAGTTTTCACTCTATTTTTAGGTTATCCAAGTGCAACTAACTGATGCCTCTGGTGGAGGTACTATTGGGTTAGATCCAGTGGCAAATATTATTATTCCTGCCAATGATAATCCATATGGCACAGTAGCCTTTGTTCAGTCAGTTTATCGTGTTCAAGAGCCTCTGGAAAGAAGTTCCTGTGCTAACATCACTGTCAGGCGAAGGTATATGAGGTGGCTTCTTGCATCTTGGGAGTGATGGGAATTATGGGTGGTGAAGAAGGATCCTTCTACAATTAAACAGTTTGGATTTGATGGGTTTTCCATATTATAATTTATTTTATAGGTTAATGTGTTGGTTGAATTATGTTTATTAATAAAATGATCCATCATACTTATATCTGTTGTTAGTGAAATGAATAGTAGATTATACACCTTTGTGTTTTCTAATCTCATAAATTTATTACTTTAATCTATTGTCTGTAGAACTTAAATACAACTTTAAGTTAAAGAACACTCAGATTTTGTTTGAAGTGCTTGATTTTCAGATTCTGGTTTTTTCCTGCATTTCTTTTTGAAGGCAGCATAGTTTACACTGAGCTCCTTTAGGAACAGATAATGTAGGATCGAGGGACCTTAGAGCAAGTCATTACATTTCTTCCAAATGTACTGTTACTATTGTTATCTTCAGTAAAATCTCTTAATTAAAACTCATTTTGTAATTCTGCTTGGAAATTCTGAAATTGATACCATTTGCATATCTTGCAAGATACTTTCATAGCTCAATTAAAAAATAAACATTATTAAAAATCATTGTTTGATTGAAAACTAGCAAACGTTCCTTACCTAAGAAAAAAATGTTGAAATTCATGCAATTAGGAAGCACATTGTGTTTGTATTATTATTTTAAACATAAAAAAAAGAAAAACCACAATCAGCACTGCTCTTTTGTTTGTGCAATATGCAGATGACTTTGAGTGCTTAACCTGTCTTAATTGTCCCTCCATCTTTTAGTGGAGGGCACTTTGGGCAGCTGTTGTTGTTCTACAGTACTTCCGACATTGATGTAGTGGCTCTTGCAGTTGAGGAAGGCGAAGATTTACTGTCCTACTATGAATCACCAATTCAAGGGGTGCCTGACCCACTTTGGAGAACTTGGGTGAATGTCTCTGCAGCAGGGGAGCCCCAGCACACCTGTGCCACTCTGTGCCTCAAAGAACATGCTTGCTTGGCGTTTTCATTTTTCAGTGCTTCTGAGGGTCCTCAGTGTTTTTGGATGACATCCTCCATCAACCCATCTGTCAATCATTCAGACTTCTGGACCTACAGGAAAAACATGACCAGGGTAGCATCTCTTTTTAGTGGTCAAGCTGTGGCTGGTAGTGACTATGAGCCTGTGACAAGGCAGTGGGCCATAATGCTGGAAGGGGATGAAATTGCAAACCTCACAGTTTCTATTCTTCCTGATGATTTTCCAGAAATGGATGAGAGTTTCCTAATTTCTCTCCTTGAAGTTCATCTCATGAACATCACAGCCACTTTTGAAAATCAGCCAACCATTGGACAGCCAAATACTTCTACAGTTACCATAGCACTAAATGGTGATGCCTTTGGAGTGTTTGTGATTTATAGTATTAGTCCCAATACCTCCGAAGATGGCTTGTTTGTCGAAGTTCAGGAGCAGCCTCAGACCTCAGTGGAGCTGGTGATCCACAGGACAGGAGGCAGCTTAGGTCAGGTGACTGTTGAATGGCGTGTTGTTGGTGGAACAGCTACTGAAGGTTTAGATTTTATAGGTGCTGGAGACATTCTGACTTTTGCTGAAGGTGAGTCATGGTTCTAAATGGATTTCAGTTTTCCCTAGTAAGATCATTAGAGTCAATTTTTTGGATAATGTTCAAGACAACTCTTGCTAATATGTGTATTCCTGTATGCATATTCTTGTTAACTTGGAGAATTATAGTATGGTTTTGGAAAAAATAGGACTTGGTTAGCTTATTAATGATTGATGTGACATATTTAGGCAGACATGACCCTGCATGTATCTTTTTAGTTATTGAATAGTATAGTTTATTGATTATAGTGTTTATCGATTTTCAGGGAATATGTGAATTTTATTCATTTATCCACGATAGCAATGCCTTTAGAGGCAACCATAAGGCAGGTTTTAATTTTGTAAGAAAAATTACAAGAATGTTATGTACTTAAAACCACTATATGGGTAAGCAGTACTACCTAGGCAAAGTGTGAGCATTTTCAAATACTCTAGACAAGTCAGGATAAGTCGTCAATGAAAATAACTTAAAAGTTAAATAGCATAAAATTTGGTGACCACATTCACATTAAATTAAACAGTGTAAATTAATCTATAATTCTGTTCTTAAACTTAGGTGGGATTTAAAAATTTTATCAGTATTATAATTATATATACTATGGTCAACAAATTAGAATTAGGGTCAGATTCACTGATTTTTTTAAGGACTAGTCCAATCATCTAATATTTAAGATCAGAAAAGTTCATATGTTTAATATAGTTTAATTGGTGGCTGGGGTTGTGGCTCAGTGGTACAGCGCTTGCTTAGCATGAGTGAGGCACTGGGTTTGATTCCCAGAACCACATTAAAAAACAAACAAACAAACAAACAAACAAACATAAAAAACTAAATAAACAAAACAAATTTTAATTGGGTGTGGGAAAGTTTTTACTGAAATCATTGTTGAAATCCTGCTTTGGGCAATTATAGACTCCATAAAATTTTTTTAATACAGTGTTTTCCTGATTGAAAAAGTAGTGACTACTCATAAGATCCTC